ATGCAGTTTACATTATCAGAGCCAATTTTATGAAAAGTTACCTTGAGAATTAATGAGATAATCCATGTATATCATTGGACATAAAGAACACTCAAAAACTGTTAGCTATTATTAAATTCATCAGTACTATTGTTGCTGGCTATTTGTGTCATTTCCAATATTTTTGTGGCCAGTGTGTGTGTGTGTGTTTAAGTATGTTTGTTTATATATATATATATATATATATATATATATATATATATATATATGTTTGTTTATATATATATATATATATATATATATATATATAGTTAAAAACTCATAGGGAAATTGTGAAGTAAAATTTCCAGGTCAAATGTATAAATTTTAAATATTGAGAGTGATGTCTGATTGCTTTCAAAAGATTATATAGTTTGTATTTCTGTTAGTGGTTATCTGACATAATGACATAAAAAATATAGTTCCATTATTTTATGTATTGCTTTTTATCTAGGCTGAGGGTGAATATCACCATAGCTTTTTTGGCAGTTGGTATTATCATGTTAACTGTCAAAGTGTTTTTGCTGTATTTTTTCTTTTTTAATTTTTAAAGGTCTTTTTTTTAAATTTGTTTATATTTTTAAAATTTGTTTAGACCAATTTAATATTTGGTCTAAGAAATTTGATTTATCTGTATTTTGTAAAGTGTATTTTGTGATTTTTAAAATCAATTGTTATCTTTCTCCACAAAGACTTTCAAAATTTGGTAGTACTTGTATTATGTTTATATTTATGCATCAGTTTGAAATGAAATGAAAAAATCATATTTTTTTTGTATTTTGAGTCTTCCACCAAAGGAACATGGTATGCCTCTAGTAATAAGGAGAAACATTTGGTCTATCCTCCTTGTATAAGGAAAACCCAATTTTCTTCCTCCTGTGTCACACATAAAACACTTAACTGGTTAATGAATTTGTAGGGCTGTGTCCCCCACACTAAGCAATTCTCAGTGATACTGGATAGCTGTCCTGTAATTTAAATCAATTCTATAATTTTAATCAGTTCCACTCTACATGGAAATAGCTTCAATCCCACAAGGTAAGCTCTCAGTTTGACATACTGCCCTCCTCCCCATCACACATGCTTCAGACACCAGTCATAGCCCAGATTTTCTTTCATCTGCTCTTCTGACCATCTGCTTGTAGGTGAAGTTCCAATAACCCCTACCTTGGGTTCTACTAATTTTCTAGAGTTGCTCACAGTACTCAAACACTTACTAGTGTTCACCAGTTTATTAAAGCTGTGATAAGGGATACAGAGGCACCTCCAGATGAAGAGAGACCTAGGGTGAGTTCCACGTAGGTCCCAAGCGTGGGAGCTTCTATCCCTGTGGAGCTGAGATATGTCATGTTTATGGTATGTGGATGTTTTTGCTCACCTGGAAGCTCTCCACACTTGTGTGATTTTTATGGACACTTCGTCAGTAGTTATGCTCAATCATTAACAGCCCTTTACTTTCTCCAGAGACAGGGCTTAGAATTCCAAGTTTCTTTTAGCTCACACTTCTTAACTAGTTTGGCCTTCTTTGGTTGTGTCCTTTAGTACAATTTGACAATTTTATTTCAGATTTCTTTTTTAATTTGTTCCTAGATATATGAAAACTGTGTATTTTTATCCGTTTAATTACTCGTATTTTTTTTTTAAGAAGTCATTGGAAGGTAGATAATAGGAAGCTGATGCATTTTACTTACATTTCATCCAGTTGTTATTGAGCTGTTTATGTTTTCTAATCTTTCAACTGGTGCTCTTGATTATTTCAGTAAACTATATGCAAATAATTTGGGGATAGTTTCCCTGATACTATTTCAGTTTATTTGTGTACCAGACTTTTCAGAATATAGTTAATTATAAAAATAATGATAGCAAACTCTTTATCTAGTTCTTGAGTTTAGTAGGAATTTCTCTTTTGTTCCATGAAGTATGATGTGCAGTGCTGAATTTTTATATAGATCCCCTTATGAATGAAAATCATTCCTTATATTTATGACTAAGAGTTTTCTTTTTAGTTGATTGTTGTTGGAATTTAGAGTTTATTTTTAAAGCATCTATTTGAGATGTTAAGCAACTTTGTCCTTAGTCCTAATGTAAAGATAATAACATTGGTCTGTCTTTTATTAATTATTATCAACACTATGCTCATATATATCATGTAGTTTGGTAAAAGTGGTTATGGATGATAGCATCTAACTTTATAAATAAATTGATGTATTCATGGATGGTCTATTTCTTTGTTATTTAGATTATAATTTTGTTATTTAGATTATATCAACCTTATGTAATCACTACAGAGTCTTCATTTTTCAGGCTCTGGAGAGGTTTAGATATGGAAATCATCTCATCCTTCAAGATCTAACATAGGAGCACAGCTCTAAACTAAGTGGGCCAGACCCTTTATTGGGCACAGATCTTAGGCAGCCTTTTCAATTCTTCTGTAGTTTACTGGTTTCCTACAGTTTTTCTGTCTCTTCAAGCAATCCTTATAATTTGTATTTTCCTATGTGATGATTTACTTAAGATATTATAGTATATTAGCATAAAGTTGTATTTTTTTTAAGATTTATTTATTTATTTATATTTATTTAATTTATACAAGCACTGGGTACAGTCAGAAGCGCGGGAGGGTGAGAGAATTCACCAGAGCCAGAGCAGGGAGTAGAGTAGGCAGAAGGACCGAAGTACACTGCTGAGGGGAGCAGCGGGCGTGGCAGGAGAGGTCTGCGCGCCATGTGGGACTCTCCTCTGGTTGCCGGGGAGCAGCCGGGGATCGAACCGGCGCTGCAGAGGCTGCGGGCAGCTTCGCAACCCAGCGCTCAACTGCTGCGCCACCGGGGAGGCCCTATTTTTTTTTTAAGTAATTTTTTAGCTTTTCTGAATTTTTGGTATTACCTCCTTATTTCTGGTGTTGAGTTTTCTCACATTATTTGGTACTCTATCCAACTTTTAGGAAAGAAATAGTCTTTCAGTCTTTAGCTAACTGCTGCATCATTTTACTTATTATTTTGGTTAATTATCATTTTTGTAAAGGGTAGTCATAACCTTTGTTCCTTACACACACTATTACCTAATTTCTTAAATTAATTTTACTGTTTAATGGTTAACTCAGAATATTCCTTTGACTTCCTGCCTAGCTGTGACCTATGTTTTGATATCTTAATATTCTCAGTGTTAATATAATTTTGGAGTTATCTTTATAATTTTGGGAGTTATCTTTATTTTTAATTCCTATTTTTTGCTTACATTATGGTCAAAGAATAGAACCTATTTGACTCTGGTCTTTTGGAATTTGAAGTATGTTTTCTTGGTCAGTTTTTTTAAGTAGGTTTTCACTGTCAATTTTTTAATAATAGCCCGTAAACGTATATGTGTATGTTTGTTGTGTGTGTGTGTATATATAGATACTTATTTATATTCTCTCTAAACTCAACCTTGTTTTAGAGATAAGACCATTAAGACTTGGAGAATTATTTAACTTGTTTTATGTTCCAATTAGTAAATGGTATACCTAGCTTTCAGAATCGGTTCTAGTCAACCTTGTCTTAGAGATCATTGCCTCCATGGTATACTTATGTTTGTGTATTTGGTATCTTCTAATGGGTATCTTCTAATGTATAATACAGTTCTATCAAAATAAGGTCTGTAGAAGTTATATAAATATGACTATATAACATGACTTAGAAAATTCTAAAATGTCTAGGTAGAAATTATTTGAATCTTTAGACCTGAATATGACTTTAAAAGAGAGAGTTAAACTAGTCAAATTAAATTTATAGATAGATGGGTAATGAACAAGAAAGGACATCATGCATGTGGACAACTCAAGAAACAAAGGAAAGTGTACATTTGTGGGGAGATGAGCCTGCAATAAGTGGAAGGAGTTTTGTTGAAGAGAAACAGTAACATTGCAACTGATTAGTAGGGTTATATTAAAGATGGCAAGTATCAAATTTCACTTTGTATAAGTGTGCAGTAGTTTCATTGCAGTATCTATGATAATTAACTTAAATATTTACCTTGATAGGCAGCCAAAAATTATGGAAAGGGCAAACATAATTCTAGAACAGGGTTCTGAGCATAGAGTTTGAAGCAGATTTACAATTCAGCTATATTAACTTTATTCATAACAATAGATAGTGTAGAATTCTGTTAGATATAGCAGTATGGACTGTCTTGTTAAAATGTGAAGAAATAGGTATGATTGCATTATATTTTAAAAGTTCGTAAAATTCATGAGAAGGAAATTCATAAATAGGAATGAATTTAAATTGGTAAAAGGTGGGGTTTTTTTGTATTTGAAAAATTCTAGAAATTAGTTGTTATTTCTGAGGTATATCTAGTTATTTAAAAAAAGTAAGCTCAAGCAGCAGTAGGTTTTCATTAAATTATTACACTAAAAATTCAAATATTATTGAACAATAAGGAATTCATTCTATGAGAGCTGCAGTCACAGGACTTGCTTTTTCATCCTTTAAGTGTAGGTTCTTAGCTGAAAATTAATTATAATGATTATGTATTCATAAGCCAGTCATTTTCTTTAAGATATGAGCATTCTAGGGAATTACATTTTGATTGTAGAATTTGGATGTTAGAGAAATACATCAAATAAGTATTAGAGAACACAGGATGGGGATTTTTAGTATCTGGGTCTTATGATGCCTCTGAATAGATTTAAAATTGAGCTCTGACTTTTACAAAATTACTCACATAGTAAGTGTAGATGTATTGTTTAATTTACCACTACTAGTGTGAAAACAAAATAAACATTTACATAGTGAAGGGATAAGGAAGAGACACATGTGGTTGGGTTTTTTAGAAAATTAATTAAAACAAATGGAACTTAAATGTACTATCTCACTTGTAATACTTTCAAAAGGAAAATATATTTGAATGCAAGAATAATCAGTTGTACTATTGATGGATTTTAATTGTTAATTAATTTGGTTAATTCTAATTAACCAAGACTGTCATTTTTTTGCATTTTCTAGGCAATTAAGTTGGAGTATTCAAGGTTGGTAAAATTGGCCCAAGAAGATACCCCCCCAGAAACAGATTATCGTTTACATCATGTAGTGGTCTACTTTATCCAGAACCAAGCTCCAAAGAAAATCATTGAGAAAACATTGCTTGAACAATTTGGAGATAGAAATTTGAGTTTTGATGAAAGGTACTTTCAAAGTATGAAATATTCTTGTGTTCAAATGTGTCATTGTCTTTTTATGCTTTCCCTGTGCAATTTGTGAATATTTCATATACACACAAAGTACTACTACAGTGAATAAACCACAAAATTTTATTTTACTTCACTTGATTTGAATATTTTGCATTTTCTCTGTAGTTTACAATCATTATCTTTAAAAGTTTGAATTTCAATTGTCAATCAAGATACTGAACTAAGCAAGAAAAGGATATGCAGATGAGTATAATATAATATACTACCTTTTTGGTACTTAAGATTTTAAGGAAATAAAGAATTTTCCACTTCTGCACTATGGGTATTTCAGGTCAGATAATTCTCTGTTATGGAAAGCTCACTTATAATTTCAAGGCTATTTAGCTGTTTGCAGACTCTACCTGCTAAATGCCATTAGCAGCCCCCATTGGTAACAACCCAGAATGTCTCCATATATCACCCAGTGCCTTCTGAGGGAGCAAAATAACCCTGTTTTAGAATACTATAGAAAAGTAGTCAGTCATATATACAAATAAAATCATCCTCTGACATAAAGAAAAGACTCAAAATTATTAAACTAATTTTAACAAGTGTTTTTACTTAGAAATGACTATAAAATTATTTACTAATATTAAAAGCTAAAAATTAAGAGAAAATATTTTAAAAATTTTAGGCCTTAGGTAAAGATCCAAGTTAGTGAGAGTTATTTTAGAATATAGAAACATTTATATGCAATCTTTGTACTCATTGTAATCATGTCTTAACTCTGCAATAAATGATTATCTTTTTATAAATGTCTAAAAAGTAATTCAAAGTATGTGTAGCAGAGGAAAATCTGAGGAAAAAGCATTTAGACCGAGATTGCTGTGAAATGTAGAGTCAAGTGAAATAATAAATATAAATGTTTTTGAGCAATGTGTGCTACATGGTAAGGACTCAATGAATGTTGGCTATTACTATTTTTATTAATAGTATAAGCATCACTTATTTTGTGTACATGACTAGAAATAGAAATGCGACGCCAGAAATATTACTAATTATAATCACCATTGTCTGGGGTGTCAGTGGTCTTCTGGCGCACATATGCTGCTTAATTTGGGAAGGTTTTTATGGAGTAATCACATTAACTTTACAACCTTTTGCAATTATTTATCCTAGGAATTGCAAATAGTCAATTGTTTGATAAGCTAATTTCTCTTATGCTTGGAAGATAGTAAGATGGGTGTGATAACTAAATAAATTTTATAGGAATTTTTTAACCAACAATTCTGGTCATAAAAACCCATTGGAAAAATTTTCATTCTTACCAGAAATGATAGGCACATTGTGGATGTCATTTTTCTTTATACTGTGGGGAAAAATAAGCTGTAGTATCTCTTGAGCTTTAATAGGTACATGTTATTTTAAAATCTTACTTCATTTTTACCCCTGTGTAGTCTTTATTAACAGAATGTAATTTAAAAGCCAAATGTAAATACAATATTTGAATTAGAATTACTGATGCTTCTTTGTATACATTATAACAATCCGGCACTGGACTAAGAAACACATCTTTCCCTTACTGGTATTTTGGAGTTGTTTCCTTAAGAGTTTTGCTCAGTGCAATTGCATTTCATTTTCACGTGTTGAGTAGTTTACTTTTGTGTAACACACATTTTTCAGTTTTATGAATTTTGCCTTTGATTTGGGAATACATTTCTTTTATTTGAAGGTGTCACAATATAATGAAAGTTGCTCAAGCCAAACTTGAAATGATAAAACCCGAAGAAGTGAATTTGGAGGAATATGAGGTAATGTGCCCTTTTGAGAGGTTGATTGAGGAATAATGTAGTTTACTGACCTTCCTTTTATTTCAGCATACTAAATGCATGAGAAAATGAAGCAGAGAAGGCTGAATCAAATAAGCTGTCTTACATTTTTACAGTTAGAAAGTTATGATTTCATTAATAGAAACTGCATTCTTCTATGTTTTTCTACACTGAAGCGATGCTGTATTTTTTCTTTGTTTCATCCTATTTTTTGGGGGGATAGATAGAAGTTTGTGTAATCATTGTATTCCATATTTATTTGCCACTATTGAACATTATTGTGCATGTGAAAGAAAACACGAGCACTTGGTCATACTTACATTGATTTTTGAACACAAAACTCTCTTTGTGTTAACCTTAGCTTTAAATAATTAACAATTCAAATACTTAGCATGTCTTCAAACTTAAATTTAACTTTATATACTGCCTTTTTTTATTTATAAATCTAGGAAATTTTAAGTTGCTTTCATAAGTGCATGTGATTAATATTTGCTCCCATTTGCAAACTTTAATTACTTCAGATTTCCTTAGACAAGTAGTGTAATTTACTACATTTATAAATAAAAGAAACACAGAAAGAACTCATTACTGATTAAAAAAACAAAACAAAACACCCTTGCCTAAACTGGAGTGTGGGTTAAGAACTTTAGTCTGGGAAAGAAAACAAAACTACAACAAATTAATTGTATAGAATTGTGAACACTGAACGCTTTCCTTTTATGATCAGGAAAAAAACAAGGGTGTTTGTTATAACCACTTCTATTCTGAATTGTACTGGAAGTTCAAGGAGGACAAAAATAAGCAAAATAAAAGATTGGAAAAATTTATTATTTGCAACTTCATAACTAAAAATTATAAAAATAATAATCGATAAATTTGTTAGAGCTTTGCAACATGTAAGCCTATGTCAAATACTGATTTCATTATACCTGTAACAAATTATCAGGAAAAATTTTCCTGAAGTATTATGGAAATGCAAAAGGTCTCAGTCTAGCTCAGACATTCTTGAAGAAGATCAAGATTTACTAGAAATCAAGACACAATAATAATTGTTAAGAATAGTTAAGAATAAATTAGAACAATGCAGAATAGAAAACCCAAAATCATAGCAAATAAATGGACATGATATAGTTCACAGTTGGCAAGTAAATTTGTTGCTAAATCTACCCATGTCCTCAAGATTTGTGTTACATAAGAATTTATTTTTATTTGTGATTCTAGTCAGGGGTCAGCTTACTTTGGCCTATAGACTTAATCCAGCTCATCATCTGTTTTTATACAGTTTTATTGGTCCACAAACCATTTGTTTACACATTTTATGTAGGTGTTTTCACACTATAAATTGCAGCTTTATGGCCTGCAAAGGCTAAAACAAAGGCTAAAACTGTCTTGTCCTTTACAGAAAAAGTTTACTCACAACTTCTAAGGCAGTTCTAGTAACAGTTGAGTGGCAATTAGAGTACTTTCTCCAGGAAAACTTAACACTTTACACTTGCAGACAAAATTTACCTTTTTTAATACCTAGCAATATTATGAACATTACAACTAAAACTTTGAAATAAAAAACACAGTGGTTTTGTTTATATTAAAGGGAAATATAGTTGGCCAATAAATGTGTTGTTTCCTACTTTAATTTGCTTATGATAATGTGTATATAAAAGCTTTAACACAAATCCATCAATATTTCTTTTAGATTAATCCCGTATTGATTTTCAGTTATGGTTTCCCTTGAATCAATTTCCTTTATTTGTTTATTTTAAAAGATTTATTTATTTATACATACAAGAGCTGGGGTACAGGCCAGAGATGCGGGGGGTGAGAGGATTCACCAGAGACAGAGTAGGGAGCAGAACAGGCAGATCTACTGAAATACACCACTGAGGGGAGCAGCGGGCGAGACAGGAAAGGTCTTCTGCGCCATATGGGTTGCTCCCTGGCTGGCCGGGGATGGAACTCATGCTGCATAGTCTGCGGATTGCTTCATAGTGCATTGCTTAACCCCTTGCACCACCAGGGAGGCCCTGAATCAGTTTTCTTTAAATTAAGAAAAAATTCTGGGCCTCCCCAGTGGCACAGGGATTAAAAGTTTCAGTGCTATCAAGCTATTGCCAGCCATTGTGGCATTAGTTCAATCCTGGCCAGAGAGCAACCCACATAGCACAGCAGACCTCTCCTGTCTCGCCAGCTGCTCCCCTTAGCAGTGTATTGCAGAAGATCTACCTGTTCTGCTCCCTACCCTAACTCTGGTGAATCCTCTCATTCCCTGCATCTCTGGCCTACAGCCCAGTTCTTGTATGCATAAAAAAATAAATCTTAAAAAAAATTAAGAAAACATGCTGATCATGTTGTTTCCTAGTTACAGCTTCATTACCTGCTGTAATAACTGGATTTAATGTAAGGAGGGGCAGTAAAATGTAAATTTTTCACTGTATCTCAGATCAATAGCCTGTTGAGCAGCTGTATTTAAAATAAAATGTAATACAGATTTGCAGAATTAAAAGGTTTAAATGAATCTATTACACATTTTCTTTTTCTTTTAGTTCCTTAAAATTTTGCATGAAATAACTGTCTAAGCTATGTTTCATACTAGAGTTGTAACTTCATTCATCCCTCAGATTTAGTTTAGTTTGACGTAGATCTATAATAATATTTTAATAAAATACTTTTATCCTAAAGAATTTTTGAGAGATAGCCTGATTATTATAGCTTGTACTTCTGTTCTAGTGAGATATTTGTTTAATTCCTAATCAATGTCCAATAATTTTTACATTTATTATTATACTAATAAATAGCCTTTTGTGTATCAAACATTAAAATCATGATTAAGTCTGGTTAATCTTTACTTTGAACTCTGCTTCTGCTAACTCAAATAATTATGAGGGCAATATTGTTTTTTATTATGAACATTTTGCATTGTAGTTTTAATATCTTACTCTTTATTCTTTTAATTTTCTTTCACCTACAGGATTGGCATCAGGATTATAGGAAATTTAGGGAAACAACCATGTATCTCATAATTGGGCTAGAAAATTTTCAGAGGGAAAGGTAAGGCATGTGGACATATGAAAGAGCTTAATCTTTGTACTTAATTCTAACTAAAAAGTAAAAAAATAAAAATTTGTCTATGACTTGACCTCTATTTTATATTTATACTATATATTACAGTAAACTTTTAATTTTAAAACAGTTGAGCTTACAGAGAAATTGAAGTTAATTATGGTGACTTTTTATATACTCCACATCCAATATATTTTCCAATTTAATTAATTCTATATAACTAATACTAGTGTCTCTACTTTAATCAGCTCTCAAAGACTACAGTTAATGCTTAGGATGAAACAGGATTAGATTGAAACCTAGGGGTTTGCTGGGGACCAATGAAGAAGCTTGTAGCATAACACATGGAATTTCTTGCGTTTGCTAATATCTTTACCTTTAGGAACCAGCCTTTTTCATATTCCTTCTGGGTCTGATTCTGACCTTAGCTCAGAGACAGTGTTTCCAATTTGTCTTTCTGAACATGTAAAAAATATAGTTGTAGTAAACTTGATCACTTCTCTTCTTAGCATTTTTAACTGATATTTTTAACTATTATAATTTTAATTATTATTAAAAACAAATTGATATTGATCTATTTACCATTATAGATTATTCATCAGTCTGTATTTACTTATTTTTCAAAGTGTTTATTAATTAATATTCTTTAACATTAAATTTCTTGACTAGTGACTCTTTCCAGAAACTGCTGTATTTTACATGTTTTGTCATAAGGAAGCCCAGTGAAAGGGATATTGAATTCTTCCTCTTTCTGTTGTTAGAACCATGTTTTCTAACATATGTGCCAATTTAAATTTCAATGAAAAATTGAGCTAAAATTTAGTGTCTCAGTCACACTGGCCACATTCCTAGTGTTCAGTAGCCACATGGGACTAGTGGCTATAATATTGGCCAGCAAAGATGTAACACTTCCGTCATTGCACAAAGTTTTGTAAGACATTGCTGCTCTGTTTGTTGATCGGTACACAGTGCTATCATTTTTACATTTTTCAGATGATAATTTTTACAGTAATGTTCTGGATAACTGAAAAGAGGTGTGTGTGTGTATACTTAAAAATGTTTTGTCAATGTAGTTGACTTTTATGAAAATGAAATACTAATGCTATATGTTTCTTTTAATGTTTAAGTTATATAGATTCCTTGCTGTTCCTTATCTGCGCTTATCAGAACAACAAAGAACTCTTGTCCAAAGGCCCATACAGAGGACATGATGAAGAGTTGCTATCACATTATAGAAGAGAGTGTTTACTAGTAAGTTTAATGCACATTATTTTATCAGTCTTATACTGGGTAAATTTTCCATGCCCATATGTAAATGATGGACTTCATAAGCTCTTTTCAGGTAAGAGTCATGGTGATGTCTGTAATCTGCATCTCATTATCCCTTCCTTATGGATCCTAACTATTGCAGGTATTAAAACAGAAATGTTCTTAAAATGAAATACAGTAACTCAGATTTCTTGTTTTCTACCACTCACGTTTGGTAGAAGAGGAGGAGCTGGGTAAAGCATGAGGAACTATTATTGCTATTCCTGAAAAATAATAAATTTTTTCTGAGTTTTAAAAACAACAGTATATTTGATATGCATGTCATCAAAGGTTTCATTGTCATACAGTATCTTTTCACTTACTCATTGGTAGTTTTTTTCCTCATGTATTTCTACTATATGTTGAAATATCACTGTACATATTTTAACAATTTTTGATTTTATTTCTGTTATGTGCATAACTTTTTCCTAAGAGACTTTTCGTGCTACAATAGTTGAGATTCTTTTTCGTGATTGCTGTTTGTTTCAATATGTTTAGGGACATACATATGTTGTCTTCAGTATCAACACAGGTATTTTTATTTAATTAAAAAGGAGTAAAAAATTCTTATTTTTCCCCCTTGCATTAAGAAATTAAATGAGCAGGCTGCAGAACTGTTTGAATCTGGTGAGGATCGAGAAGTAAACAATGGCCTGATTATCATGAATGAGTTTATTGTACCATTTTTGCCCTTGTTATTGGTGGATGAAATGGAAGAGAAAGATATAGTTGCTGTGGAAGATATGAGAAATCGATGGTGTTCCTATTTGGGACAAGAAATGGAAGGTAAGTTTAAACAGTGTTAGTGGACATCTGAGATGTTAGGATTGAAAGCATTTAGAATTAAATGTTACTTATTTCTATCTGTTATTTCTGTAATAGATGCACAGTTACATCATTATAGTTTTCTTATATAACTTAGCTGTGCACATTGCCATTACCATTTCTATTTAATCTTTCCCCCATCACAATTACTTTACATATTTTGAAATGAAACATCAACTGACTGCTCCAAATTAATAAATCCTAGTGAGAACAATCATCTGGTAGTTTGTCTCCCTCTCTTTCTCTTTACTTATATCTGATTGTTTTTACTTACAGCTAATCTCCAAGAAAAGCTGACAGACTTTCTGCCAAAACTGCTCGATTGTTCTACAGAGATAAAAGGTTTCCAGGAGCCACCAAAGTTACCTTCCTATTCCACACATGAACTCTGTGAACGATTTGCCCGAATCATGTTGTCCCTCAGTCGAACTCCTGCTGATGGAAGATAAACTGCACATACTTTCCCTAAACACACTGTATAAACTTTTTTTAGTTCTTAACCCTTGCCTTCCTGTCACAGGGTTTGCTTGTTGCTGCTATAGTTTTTAACTTTTTTATTTTAATAACTGCAAAAAAACAAAAAAACAAAATGAATATACAGACTTTGGCCAGACTGCAAACAATAAAGCTGAGAATCGCATGGCGCTCAGACTTTGTTTTAACCAGAGAACTGATGTATAGTCACAAATCTGATTAATTTTACCATGGCTGGCAAAACAGTGTTTTGCCACCTTTCTGTTCCAGTATTACTTTGCTTTTATCTTTATCTGAGCTTTCCATTCAGTCTGGATCCTTCCATGACTACAGCCATTTAAGTGTTCAGCACTGTGTACGATAGATAATATTTGGTAGCTTGTAAATGAAATTAAAGAATAAAGTTTTATTTATGGCTACCTATGTGTTTGTAAGTAGGTATATTGTATATGAGTGTATTATTTTAGCTATATAAAATGAATTTTGTCTGGGGATTGTATATGATGGGTGATGAATAGATTAATAAAATCCTTTAATTTTGCTATAATGTTAGCATATTGTAATTTGCTAAGTATTTGACACTTAAATATATGTATATTTTTTACTAAGTTGCTAAACTTAGTATGGCACCTAAACCTGTTTTGAATTCAAATCAGGTTTTCACTGAAATAAGCAGCTAATGTTTAAGTCAAACCACACTGAAAACTTTTAACCTTTTCTTAGATTAACCTTTTATTTTTTTATGTATTTACAAACAATATAGCAAGGTGATTATTTTGAGAGACAACAGAAACAAGTACTTGAATAAGGGCTATTTAATAGTAAAACTTATAAGATATATATACACACACATACATGCACATGTATACACACACATGTATTCTTCATAATGGAGGACAATGTTTTGCATTATTAATCATTCTATTTTTGTAAATTGTATATCACTTTAATTGAAAATGTTCTCTACTAATCAATGCTGTGAAATGAAGTTGATATTGTTGAACTAGAAGCTATACTATCTTACCTGCTTTTATTTGCCTCCTTTTAAAAAAAGGAAACAGGAAAATGTAGAACATTTTGTAGATGGAATTGCTGTTTATGATTAATAAGTAATATTGTGAATGAAAATCAATGCTTTAAAGGTAATCATGTTACCAACAACCTATTTTTGAATTTATAAAAATTGCTTCATAAACAATACTTTGTTAGCATAGTAAACTATATCATTATCTAAGTGTGTGTGTTATAGCGTCGCCAAAACTAGTGCTTTTTTTAAGTGCCTCTGACAAAAGATCCTGGATGAAAGAGGAAGAAGGAAAATACTAAGCTACTATAGGATGTGTCTTAATAAAGGGATCTTTGTATTGGTAAGGTATTAATAACAACGAATGGGTCTAGTCCCGACGTAAAGTTAGATTTTGCATATTGTAGCTATCACAATTATTTTGGTATAGATGTTTAATCTCTACTGAACAGTTAGTATTCTATATTGGTTTTTAAGTCCTGTGAAAAGTTTAGAAACTTGACCTATATCATCAAAGCTTTTGTAAAGTATCTTCAGTATTTTGTGATGTTCTACCATAAGCTGAAGTTTTTTGTGTTTATATTTATAATTGACCATTGAGACGTAAAGTGCTTAAATACCATGTAGAAAGTACTCCTTTCAAAAGGGCACATCCAGGGAATTATATGTGGCTTTTATGCTGCTGTGAAGGTAAGTGTTAATATTACATTTACTTTGATTTTTGAAAGTCAGTTTACTCATTCCTGGTAATCTGAAGTGCTTATCTTAAATAAATGACCTTTCCAAGACCTAGGGAAACAACTTGTTTTTCTATTAGCTTTTAATCTAGTCTTACTATTTAGGACTGAGAAATTTCTTTACATTATTAATTGAGTCAAATACAATTTATAGCTAGTAATCCAAAACTGCATACCTCATAGAACTGTTGTCAATGGCAGATTTCATTTTAGAGGACTTTCATTTTTAACATTGTACTCCCATCCTATCCCTCAGAGTTGAATTTAAATAGCTAGAACTTCAGTTTTGCAGGAACTTTATGTATATGTAGGGTTTAGGGAGCATGTAGCCATGAGTGAACCTGTGAAACCCCATAGATATTCTCACATTTAAGATACAACACTGACCGTGCACTAAATTACTCAAAATATTGTATCTAGACCAGCAGTTTTAGCATCATCTGGAACCTCACACTATAACTTGATTCAGAAACTCTTATTAAAGTGATCAATGTCTTAACAAGTTCTTCAAATGATTTTGATGTCTGCTAAAATTTGAGAACTATGGCACTAAATAAAACTCTCAGCCCTTTTTAGACACCTTAACTTGGTTCTGTTTAATTTCCATTAACTTGTGATCCTGTTTGTTGGAAGCTTTTTTTGTGTTTCACTTGCAATTCATAGGGATTGACTACAAATTATTTTGCTTAGTTTTAGGTTTAATCAAGAATGAGATAGATTTTTCTACTCCTATATGTGGCTCTCTGGAAGTCTGAAATCTTGATTTCATCATTCAGAATTGTTTACCTCTGTCTTAGGGTCCTATTGTCATCCAAAGTACAATAACGTGGATACTTGGGGGGAGAGCCCTGAATATGAATACCCTAATGTGTAATCATTTTATTAAATGTTATTTTACATCATTAGATGAAATCCCACTTGTTGTGCCCATGATAGCTTCATCTAAAATATATGTAAAAATCTTCTAAGACTGCCATTATCAAAATACCACAGATTAGGTGGCATATATTTTATCACACTTCTGCCAGCTAGAAATCCAAGGTCAAGGTGTTGGCAGGTTTAGTTTCTTTTGTTCCACACTCTCCTTTCTACCCCCATTCTGTAGGTACTGCTGTTAACAATTATGGCCACATATTTTCCATGTTCGGATAAGTTATGTGAGTTATGCTTATAAAGAGTGCTGTTTTTGTTTTTGTTTTGTTTTTTAATCTTTTTTTTTTTTGTGATGGGGATAGAGTGGAAGTGGTGAGGGTCATTGCTTTTACAAAAATGAAATAACCATCTATTTTGTAGCCTTTTTCTTCCACCTGCCTGTACTTTCTAGCCTTCAGTTCCTTTTTATCCTTATAATTAGCTTTGATCGATGACTTACAATAATAAAATAATAAAAACTAATGAAACAGTAAATGAGCTATGATGGAGGGAGCAGTCAAAGCTATATCACAATGCTTTTCTGTTCTTCACTTACTGGACTTCTCCTTCCTAAGTGGTAACATGTTCAGACTGAAGCACCAGGCTGCACAGGGCCAGGTCCCGGCATCGCTGCTGGCTGCACTGACCTCAAGTGAGCTCGTTCACTCTGTTGTGCCTCAGTTTTGTCATCTAGAAAATAGGATTACGTTATGACCTAGCTCATTGCATTCTTTTAAATTAAAGAAATAGATTTTCTCTATATAAGTGTTTAATACTTGTCAGGGATTTTCTACAATTTAGCACTTGGTTGCTCTTGCTCCTGCTCCTGATTTTTACAATCTGCTTTTCTGAGACAGATTTCTTTGGTTTGCTCACTTTCTTAGCTAGTCCTTGTTTGCTCCTCTTTCTGCTCCTTATGTATCAGTGTCGTCACAGTGCTGGCCTTGGCCCTCTTCTCTACATCTTTCCTGAACGGTCTTCGTACTAGTCAGTCTTCCTGTACTGCCTGCGTGCTGATGATTCCCTAGTCGGTGTTTGTAACCAGATCTCCCTTGTGAGTTCTGTATTTTGTCTCAACATACATACTTGATTGTTTCTTTAAACATCCAAAAATAAATTTAGTACTTCTTCCTACGCCAACTTTCTTACATTTCCTTTGTGAATGATACAGTAATCTAGCAATGGAAGATTGCAATGCTACATCTATTTCCCATGAATTACCAAGTGTTAACAAGTAATTTTTTATTTTTTAATATGTTGCCTATGCATCTTCTCACTATTACTGTTGATGAGGTCTCTCATCTCTTAATTTGGACAATTGGATTTGTCCCTACATGGCCTCGCTTTCTCTGCTCTTCCATACTGTTGACAGAAAAACCTCTCAAAGATATTTTACTTGTCTATCTTTCATTGCTAGTTTGAGCTCCTTTAAAGAGAGATAGAGAGTACCTCATTTTTTGTAACTCCAGTGCCTGGCTACTTCATGAGATGCAGTCTGCAGGTTTTCTAGCCCACCAGTCACGTTAAAACTGCATTGTCCAATACAGTAGCCACTAGCCACATGCAGCTGTTTAAGTAAAGTTTAAATTCTGTTAAGTCATACTAGCCACATTTCAAATACTCAGTAGCCACATGTGACTACTGGCTACCATACTGGACAACCCATTTTAGAACATTCCATTACCACAGAGCTGCTCCAGATCTTTAATTATGGGGATGTTTTCCTGTATTGACACCCCTTGAATATTCAAACACCCTCCAAAGTGTTAACTGGAACAAATTGACTGTTAACATTTATGTCTCTATCTTAATCCTGCATTAACCACTCTACTAGTCTGTTCTTTTGATAACACCTGTAGCAGTATGTGACCCTTAGGAAAGCCCACACTATGTAGTTTAATATAAGATGTGATAGAGACATTGGAAGTGACCCACAGATCCTAATTGCTCCTGGCAGTTGCTATTCCTCAGGATGGGAAGCAAAAGGGGAAATGTTTGAGTTCAAAAATAGGGGTCTTCATGGAACTGGTTCTCCAACCTGAGGAGGTACATTACCCTTCTTTCTACTTCAGAAGATACAAGGAAGGTCTAAAAATTCTGAAAGTAGTTAAAAACTACTTTCCACAGGAATCAACTGTCATAGTGAGATCAGCACTGCTATGGTTAGCAAGCAAAGACAAAGAAGTGAAGTAAACACTTCACATTGGCAGGTCCCTATAGGGAGGATGCCATGGGAGAGGTTAGAAAGATGTATTTTGCAGAGTCCTTTCTCAGCATCACAAAGAAGATGATAGAAGGTTGGAATTTGAACTGAGAGACTAAATAAAGAACGAAACACTTAAACACTTCGTTTCCTCTTAAAAGAATCCTTTTATCCAAAGATGTTAATCCCAAGATAAAACTAAATTTTCAGGACTGTTTATTATATACTATAGTATATAGTATCGGGACCTCAAATTGTACTAGTTCTGATTGAAATCTTAGTGTTCTTTCTACAATGGGATTTTTAAATGATGTTTATTTTTTTAATTAGCAGTGGGAGGATATGCATTAATATGAATGTATGCCCATCCATTGTTTCCCACATTTATACCTTGTATACCATTCCACATAATCTGCCAGCTAGTCTGTATATAAAAATAAATATGGAGACAAAAGCAATTATCTACTCACTGTCACTGTTAACATTTTGGTGTTCGTGTTGCTGGACAACCTCTGATGCATGTGCAAATTTATACATACACAA